ACGTGGCACCGATTAGCCAATCACATTTATGAAGATCATTAAAATTACAGCCAATTAAAAAGAACTTCTGTCATGCTTTCCGTGCTTTAATTAAAAGTTTTCCTTGAACGATTTTACTATATTTTCTGTTAATTTTTAACCTTAATACAAATTCTAACCTTAGCATCAATGAATTTTAAAGAATTTTGCACATTTCAGACGTGCGATCGGCAACATGTATAACCTGGCACACAATTCATACATGCAAAATCGAGGCCTAGAATATAATTAAGGAATCTTGAAACCGAGTTGTGTATAATTACAGACATGTCTCAGCAAAATTTTATTCTCTTGAGAATAAAGTACCAAATAAAAATTTATGTTCGTTAATGGTTTAAATTATTTTAATTTTTTTTTTTTACTAACAGAAAGGATTCTGAAAATGCATAAATAAAATACTTTCGCTTATTGCGATTTGCAAATTCTGATCATTTGAATGATGATCATCACTCCGTGATTATGACGAAGATAAATGGTTCTATTTCCTTTGAGGTTGAGTTCTGATCTATTATTTTAGAGGTTGGTTAGGACTAGAGTTGTTGGTGAAACTAATTAGTTTCACCAGAAAACTGGTGCACTATTAAAGATTTGTTTTATCTATAACTTTTTTTCACTATCGGTGCACCAGTTTCGGTGCACCATTGAAGATTAGTTTCACCAACAACTCTAGTTAGGACATATTCTCAAAAGGTAATTTGGTGCTCTTACAAGTAATAGAAGTATTTTACTGCACCACCCGATTGTGATTGTGGCGCAGTAATATATTTCTAATTGTGCCGCATCGATTTTGATTGGCTAACGGCCGAGGGTCTTCAAAAATTGGGCCCGCATTACATAATTGTTTACTAAATTCCGGCCGGAATTAACTTTTTAATTTTTTTCATTACAAAAATAGAAATTTTTAAAAAATAAGCCCGCATTATGGTAAAATTGGCTCAGGAACAATTTTCACTTAATGGGCGACTGCGATTTCATTAGTAAAATTATGAGTAACTCTGGCCTAATTTTTTGATCGTCGCTCTTAGCCAATCAAAATCGAGGATCTGCCGCGCATTTTTTGTGCGGCACCTAGGTTCAATATAATTCTATTACATGTAAAAGCACCAAATGACCTTTCTGAGAATCAATCCTCTAAAAAATCGATCAGAACTCAACCTCAAAGGATTTTTTTCAATGCAATAGAAGCGTATATCTTTGCCACAATCACAATCGATTGTGGAATAACGATCAATCAAATGATCAATGGGATCCAAAATTTTGCAATAAAAATAATTTTAATTTTTTTTTTATTGAAAAACTAAATCGATGGTTTTGATTTTGCGCCTGTGCTAAGGTGGCGTGATCTAGTTTATCCAATTAAAGACGGGATTTCAGCGTCCAATCACAACTTGGGGAGAATTGGCTGATCCCTTATTTTGTTGAAGGATAACTTCAAATGATTTCAATTTATTAATTAATATATGCATTAAAAATAGTCATAAATATTTACTATTAACAAATGTTGTAAACAATAAAAACAATAAATGTTATAAAGAATGAAACTAGCAATAAATGGTATCCAATTATGATTGCACTCATTTCCAGTTAGTATTGGTTAAAAGATATAGAAAAATGGGATTTGACTAATGGCAGTGAAAAATTCTACTAACTAATCGGACCCCTAAATAACTTATATAAACATCAATAATATATAATAGAAAGTAATTTTAAAGAAAATTAATGTCTGTCAGAATAAATGTCTTACATATACTTGTTCAACACCAATTTCGACATTACAACAAAAAAAAAATTAATATCTATGAGTTTTTAAAAATCTTTGTTAAGGCATTCAGAACGTTTCTATGAAGCTTATAATGTCTTTCTCGATACCTGAATGCTATTTCCTCTTCTTTTTTAATAGCTTGTAAATATTGACCGATGCTTGGTAAGCTATATAATTGTTGTTCAAGTTTAAATATGTCTTCAGAAGATAGTGTGCATGAAGAGGGATCATTATTTTCAATCTTCTTTTTAAGAATGTTCACCCTCTCATCATATTTTATTTTTATTTCTTCTAGCCCTTCAAGGATTTTATGATTGTAATCTTTAAAAGTATTATATTTTTCTCTTTCAAGATGTATAATATAATCAAGATATTCCACATATGCATCATTGAAAGCAGCTATTGCATTTTGCATTAGGAATTGTGTAAACTGGATTGCAATTTCATTGACTGTATTCTGTTGTTCTTTGAGCTGATTGATCTGTTCTTGAAGCATTTCTATATGTTCTAGCTTGTCAATTTGATTTATTTTATTTTCAGAAATTTTATTTTCAATATTTTCGTCAATTTTTTTTGAATATTTAGAAATGCTCTTATAAAAGTTAGTTTTATGACTTTTCGCAGGACAATCACAGGATTTACACTTCCCAAACATCATAGAACCATTATACTTTAGCATAAATGTATTTAATGTTTTCCATTTAACATGGCAGTTGCCCATTGATATATCGATGCTTTGTTTTTGACAAATAATATTTGTACATGTAACTCTAGGTCGTTCCAATGATATCGTCTTAAGCTCTATGCGTGGAATATACAGCTTACTCCTAAGCTCTTCATCAGTTATGTCAGCTTTTTGTATTTCTTTTTTTAGTTTATTAACTTCAGCGATATTTTCTTGGATATTTCGATCTATTTCTGCAAGAGGTTCGCAAAGCATCATCACTGTTTGCCTGGCATTATTGAGCGATATAGTATCATTTATTTTATGGGGTGTACGATCTATAATGTATTGAAGAAGTCTCACTGATTCTTTTACAGAATTTTCCCAACTAAGTGCATAGTTTTCCTTTGTTTTATCTGAGTATGAGACACCGTTTTTAATTGCTGCTAGAAATCTAAATGAATCGTTATCAAAACAATATGATGTATTTTTGCAAATTGTCATTTCAATACCCGATTTTCTTTCAAGTTCCTGGAGTTGTTTCTTTAGCACTGGTAATGTATCTCCTGGGCAAAAGAATGTTCCTCTGGTATTAGTAAAGCAGAAGACAATATTGTCCTTAGCACTTTTATGAAGATGTGATAATAATTCATGTATGCAAAATCTAAATATTATATTCAGTCGTGAGTCGTTAGGTTTAAGAAGTATGCAGATCCCATCCAGATGGTCGTGTTGACTTATATTCTTTAAGATATTTTCAAAATTTTTTTTATCATATTCAATCCCTCTAGTATCTCCTATCCCAGGCGTATCGATCAATCTTATAACTTTGTTTTCATCCGCATGGAATACGTAGATACCACATTGTTGAGTAGATGACATTCCTACACAATCTATTACTTCATTTTCGTCTTCCTCTTCACTAACTACCGTTATCAGTTTCATGTCATAATCTTCGTTTGTTATCGTAAATTTAGATGTAATCAATATATCTAATTCACCAGAAATTGCATCTTCTAAACTATTAAACTTAAAATAATTTGCAAATGCATTTATAAACGTGGATTTTCCTGTACCAGTTTCACCAAGCAATAATATGTTTATTTCTTCTCTAGGAGCAACTGATGGTAAAAAATCAACCAATTTATTTTGGTCATAAAGGATATAACCACCGGTGTGACGTGAACTGCTACATTTAAATTTACAATAATCGATTTTACTTTCCCCACACTCGCAATATAAATGTTTATTATACCCATATTCAATATATTGTTCACATCTGATACATATCCATTCACATTTTAAGCATGAACAATCATCGGTTAATGAACGTGGGCAAGGTACCCTTAGACGCTCATTCTTATTAGGATGATTGTTTGGCTTAATGCTTGGTAAAGTATTGAATTTAATAATGTTTGACGTGAATAACTTTTTTTTGTCATTATAATAGTCACTACTATTTAGACGTCCGTTAATATAATGATGAATGACTGGATGATTAAGTCTGTCTGCCCCTGAGCATATTGTAGGATCAACTATAAAAAATTTGCTCGGCTCCTCATTTATACTTGATATACTTAAAAATGCATTCCATACTGATGAATCAATATTATTAATATAGTTATCAGTATCAAATAATATATAAATATGATCTTTCGGATGTTCAAGTAAAATTTGATTGATAGTTAAATTCTTATTAAGATAATCTATTCCTCTCGCTTTTAGAATAGGTAATAGATCTGCTTTCATAGATACTGATTTATATTTCTTAATAAATGATGTGATTGAGGTTTCTGATAAGTTGCTTTGTTGAAATTCTTTAATATTATTTTCAAGTTCATTGAGATTATCTTTGCCGGAGCGTATATTTATAAGACATTCTGAGAGTTTACGTCTGAATCGCGTTTCTTCTAAATTAACTTCTTGTACATGCTTATTAATTTCATCAAATAGTTCATCAGGTATGAATGAGGCAATAGATTTTGCATCATTATATAAATCATTAAGTTCTTGCTTAGATTTGAATAAATCAATAAAAATCCTATCTACTCTTTGAATAGTTTCTTCGCTTAAATCTATTATCATACGATCGATATAAGAGTTTTGCAATAATATTTTAGAGAGTTCTGATAGCGGATATAGAGAATATTCTATTGGAACTCCTTTGCCATTATTATATTTTTTAATATATGATGGAAGTTTTGACAAAAGTTCTCTAGCATCTTCAAAAGATTGAGGAATCTTATGGGGAATAATGTCTCCTAATAGTTTTATTGAGAAGCGGTTAATGGTATTATATGAACCCTTTTCAACGTTTACATGTACACCTGCACCTGCAGAAATTGAGGACAACATTTTCTTAAGATTATCCTTCAATTCTCCACCTACTTGAGATCTTTTCTCCTTATTTGTATCTTCATGCTCAAATGATGTCACAACAGCAGCCCCCCACTTTATGCCTATTACCACATGCGTAGCTTCTGGAGTATTAAAAGCATCCATTGAAATACATGGTTTAACGTTTTCATGATAAATATCAAGAGTTTCTTCAACCGAAGTCATTTTGTATACTAGTGTACCTTTTACAGATCTACAACTTGTTTTTATATCATCTAAATACTTTCCAGATCCATCTAATGCGACTAAACCTAGAAGAACACTTATTCTTAGTTGAGATTCAACTTCTAAATTTTTAAATTTATCCAAGTATGAATCTTCACATTCATATGTTATACTAGTGTTAGGAACATAAATTCGGTTTATAGAATTAGGTGGTAATTCAGTCTTCAATATTGAAGTTTTACAAAAAATATCTTTTGTAGCATCGTATAAGGATCCAATAACTGCACCTCTTCCTAAAGCTTTTCGTTGTATAGTTCTTACAGGAGCCGCCATGTATATATGCCAAAATGTGTGAAATAATGCAATTGAAATTGATTTAAAAGAGATTTAAGTAACTTTCGCGCTTTACACGTTAATATTTATAAAATTAGAATACGTATAAATCATATGGTTAATATAGTAGACACAGAAAAGGCAATTTTATTTGCATAACATCTAGATACACACGTACGTACAGTACGTACATACGTGCTTACACATATACTAATTAGAATAAAACAATGATGCTAAATTAAATGTAAGTCATAATAATATATCTTGCACTAAAATTTGTTATACAGCATCATCCTGTTGCATGAAATTTAAAAAGCCTCTTTATAAATATACCAAAATTATCTTAATGAGACTATTCATTCGTGTATTACTGAAATTATCTCTTCGAATGACGATTAAGAGAAATGAATTTGGCATATTTTCAGATTTCGTGTCACAGCATACTATTAAAATTTACTATATAATTAAGATTTGACTATACTCGAAGTGCGTACAATACAGTACGTACATTAGTCTCATTAGTACCCTAAAGAAATACTTACTGTTACTATATAATTTGAGAACCAATAATCTGTTTTGGGTTTAAACGAACACCATTAAGCATAAGATTCACTTGAGTATTGCCAAGGGAAATCAAAAGTACAATTTAAATTATCCCCTGGTCAACCCCATCTATGTAACTTTTTTCATGTACTTATTTCTACTGGACATATATCTATTTAATTTA